GGTTATTAGCCTTTTGATAGGATTTTTAAACATCTGCAAGGCTATATTTGAAAACGATATAATTAATATGCAGTAGAACCTTACTGCAAAATTATCTAGAAGTAGGGATAGTTTGATAATTGGGGGCCCCTAAGGGGCTAGAATCTATAACACACCATATTGTGCTGCCTTTTCCTAGCATGAACAGGGCTCAGTTGAGATGTTTGAACATTTAATTAATTCTAATGGACTCAAAGCTGTCATGCAACAATACGGTCTCGTCCCTGAAGAAGATATTTGCTTTATCAAGGAACAAATTACAGGACCACTTGAATCACCTGTCAAAAAAAATTCTTTGGTAAGTTTGCCTACAAGTTAATTTGAACTCACTATTGCTTTTCATCTAGTCTTCTCTTGGTTTTTTTCAGAACTATACATTAGTCTATTTTAGAAGCTAAATATAAGTTATATATTTCTACTATTTAGTGCAGAAAATAAAAGGCTTATAGTATTTCCACCTCTTAACTGAGATCTTTAGAAGTTACCCCCAAATTAAAATATATACAAATCATTTTTAATGGATATATATGTTCAGTATTTTATATAGAAGCCTAAAGTAACTTTGTTTGGAAATGTGAAAATGTATGTCTTGGCTCGGCACCTGTGGCTCAAGTAGCTAAGGTGCCAGCCACATACACCTAAGGTGGCGGGTTCATATCCAGCCCGAGTCTGCCAAACAACAATGATGGCTGCAACCAAAAAAAAAAAAATAGCCAGGCATTGTGGCGGGCACCTGTAGTCCCAGTAATTTGGGAGGAGGAGGCAGGAGACTTTCTTGAGCCCAGGAGTTGGAGGTTACTGTGAGCTGTGATGCCACAGCACTCTACCCAGGGATACAGCTTGAGGCTCTGCCTCAAAAAAAAGAAAGAAAATGTATGTCTTGTTTAACCGTTACAATGAACATATTTGAAACATTATAAGTGGTGAGGTACAAAAAAGTTGAATTTGTTCAGAGTAAAATCTATTTCATTGGGTGGTGCCTGTGGCTCAGTGGGTAGGATGTCGGCCCCATATACTGAGGGTGACCAGTTCAAACCCAGCCCCAGCCAGCTAAAATAGCAGTGGCAACTGCAACAAAAATAGCTGGGCATTGTGGCGGTGCCTTTAGTGCCTGCAACTCTGGAGACTGAGGCAAGAGAATTGCCCTAGCCAAAGAGCTAGAGGCTGCTGTGAGCTGTGACGCCATGCCACTCTACCGAGGGCAACAAAGTGAGACTCTGTTTCAAAAATAAATAAAATAAAATCTGTTTTGTTTCCTTTTTGATCTTTTGTATTTTATTAATTAAAAAAGAAACTGAAAACAATTTTCCTGTTACTGATTTTTAGTTTTTTCCTCAAATATATACAAGTCTACTTGTAAGATAAAGTAATCGGCTTGCAGCAAATATCCTATTTGCAAAAAAATGAAACTCCAAAAATGCTTTGTACAATGCATATTATTTAGACTAAGTATATAGCTACTTTGAGATATAGTACTGTTTTAATGTGTGAATTCAAGTGTTATTTAAGGAATATTCTTTTTTTTTTTTTTTTTTTTTTT